GTCTTTAATTATAGTTCTTTCAATGAAAATTTAATTAAGAAATGCACTGTAGCAAAAGCAGTTTCTGATATGTCTCGCTCTATACCATCTCCAAATAAGATGATCGAAACATTTGGAAAAATTGAATAGATTCGACCTTTATTCCATATCACAAAATAAAATAAGACAAGATTTTCACAATTGTTTCGCCAATCTTGACTTCCTCAAGCTTCGAGCACTTACTACTAATATTAAAAAAAAAACTTGAGTGTTTCATTCCTACCAGCCACTAATGTTTCAGGAATCATGGAAAGAGTGGCCGGTGGTTCGGGTGAGAAAGATGAAACAGGCCAAATGAAGACAGAAGAGAATAAAAGATTATCTGTGGAATATTACTGTCCCAGCATTTGCCTAAGTGATCCAGGAAAATCACAGAAAAAATTGAACAGAGGCAGGCAGACCCAGAATCTAACCGACGTCCTCCCCAATGCTAAACAATGTTCTAAACCTCTAATCCAAGCCGTTCGATGTATTTGTTTATATACAGTATTATTATGGGTAGTTAAAACAAGTGAGTAATTATTACATTCGGCTTGATCACTTAGTAATATACCTACTTTTTTATATTTATTAATTTTCAAATAACGTTAAGTTTCTAAATGTAAAATATCCAAATCCAAAAAACAGATGTCCTTCTTCAGTGACGTGATTGGCGTAAATAGAATCTGTCTTGTTTTTGATGTAACTACTTTTATGCTCACTTAATCTATTTTTAAAATTTCTACCTGTTTGTCCTATATAAACTTTTTGGCAAGACCTACATGTTAACTTATAACCTGCTGACTGATTTTAAATAATTACATTATATTAATTTATTATTTTTATAAGTTTTCCTAAAGAAAAATATTATTTGGAAAATCGTGCTATTAATAAATTGCTATATATCTAATGTCAAAGAAGAACTGCATTTGATCAATACGTCACCATAAATTCTTAATTTTTGTGGTCAATAATATATTTTAACGAAAATCATTTATATCGCGTGGCACATAACACTTATTCTCACCTACTATTATAGCTGCAAGGTACAGGTGAATAACGTAAGGCAACAATGCCATTAAATATTATTAGAGAGCTTTCATATCTTATTATGTCCACCTCGATTTTCCTATCGATATGTCGTAATCAAGAAGTCGTAATATAAGTGGATGGCTTCATGTTTACAGCCAGGAATAATTTATGTTCTATACTTACACTTAGCCGCTTTCATACATTAATAAAATCATAAATGTTTTATGCTGACAACTAGCGTTCATCATTTTGCTTTGTAGGTACATGGAGAAAGAGTTTTAGGAGAGAAAGTATCTATCCTGAAATTCGCACATAACATACAAATACTTAGCCCAGAAACGACAGCTCATTCTTGGTAACTTATAAGAAAAAGATTATTGGTAAATGTCTAGATGATGGGGGTGGGTGGGATCGAAAGAGGAGGTCTCCCCCACCATTGTACCATCAAAAGTTCGTGGGGGTAGAGGGGATCGAAAGAGGGTGGTCACCTGAGTAAAACCCCATAAAAAATTTGCGGTGGTCCCACCCCCATAAAAAGTTATGGGGATTGAAAGTTGATTATTTTGACAATTTTCATACACTATAATTCAAATAAAATTCAATAAAAAAATTATTTTCAAGCGGGTGTAGGTGGGGGATCGAAAGAGGGTGGTCACTTGAACAAAACCCGATAACCTAACCTAACCTAACCTA